CTTTCCCCTTTAGTCTTTCTCCCAAGATTCCAAGACTTGGCCTATCTTGACCACCCAGACTGGACTTCTAAACAACCTTTTGCTGTGGGAAGATAAACATGATGAGCTATTCCTCTCTCTTGTACCAGAATTTTTGTGGAATAAGCATTAATTGTGCCAGAGAAAGGAAGAATCAGTCTGTAATTTAACAATTAGTTCCTTTCACACATAAGACATAGTTCTAACCCTTTGTCTTCCCAACACTTACTAGCTTGCTAAATTTTTGTTATAGAAATAGGTTTTGATGAATGTAGTGATTACTCTTCATTAATAAAAGCAATCTGAAATTTTTAGTAGGCTACAAGGTTTTTGTCTGCTTTAGAGTGAATATGAAACTTCATGATTTCCTATTCTTAAATATTCTTAATACTTAGGAGCTTGTTTTTTTCAAAAGGATTAAAAATAGCTAACTTCTGTCTGCTATTGGCAGATATATGGTAACGTAACATAGAGAGAAAGGCAGGTATCATGACTGATCCAAAACTATGGTACAGAATAACTCTGCCATCTAAGAATACACCATAGCAATTGTTCAGTAATGTCATATATTTCTAATTTTGCCTCCAGAAGTTAAATACAGTATGTATAAATAAAGTAATTTAGTGGTATTTCACCTCAGCCTAAGCATTCAGTACCTGATTTTGTTCTCTGACAGCAATATTACATAAGTATGTTCCAAGAAAGCAGCATTTATCTCAGGTTTTATAAAATGAGGGAGCCTTTAGCATTGTTGGATGAAAGTAATTCACTTATGAAATATACTCACAGTACTGGAATAAAGGAATTTCCTTTCCTTTACAGAATTCACAGATGAAGTATTACGTGTTCAGAAGTTTATTTTAATGATATGGACTGATCTGAGACTAACAGTGCTTTTCACACAGAACTGCAAAATACTACAAAATCTTGGGTTAAGTTTAATTCATCATGATCTGGAGTCTATCATAAGACACCAAAAAAAAGAGAATTAAAAGTATTAACAGAAGAACCCTAACTCTATCGAAGTCAGTGTTCCTACTAATTTTGATGCAAATTTGGGCAAGAATAATGATATGGTATTTGGGAGTTGGGGTTTTTTGTTGTGGGTTTTTTTTTTATTTAATCCCCCTGTGATTTCATATACTCAGTAAAATTAGTTGCTTCCTCCTTCAAGAACCATATCAACTGTCCAATGAAGTTAAAAGACAGAAAGGCAGACACCAATGCTGAGGATTTGTTGATTCCTGTGTACATACCACCTTTCATCATTCCCACTTCATAGCATTTTCTTAGTCGGCAAGCCTGGCAACTCTTTCTTCTGTTCTTGTCGATGGTGCACTGGTTAGTAGCAGGACACATATAGTCATTATGCCCTGTAAAACCAGAGGGAAAGTAAGGACAGAGTTATAAACAGACATAAACCTCCCTATAATACTCTTACTTTCATTGAGTATTTAGTACAGCATTTAACATTTCACTGTTCCAGATAGTGAAACTAAGATCTATTCACAATACATTTATTCACAAGTTCTTTAAAAGTACTATTAAAAACACAAATTACAACTTCTGTAGAATAATTAAAATAATGAATAATTAAAGCTGGCACAAAAGAACATAGATTAATATGAATTAGTCCCTTGACTTCCTTGTTCTTAGCTGAGAAATACAATGCGATCTTGCCATGTGCCTGTGTTGATGTTTAACCAATAGAATGCACAAAATGGTTCGGGGTTCATGGAATTTAAAAAGCCTATACACAGAACATTTTTTGACATCTACTGCAATCTGGGGCAATTAAGAACCAAATGATAACAAACATAAAATAGAAGCAACAACCATTAATTAATTTTATCTCAGGAACAAATCAGTATCTAATTCCAACTGCATGTCTTCTGATATATACAAAAACTTTTTGTCATGACAAATTCTTAAATTACCATATGTCGTAACCAGGTTTGGTAATGGTACCTTTTTCCTCAGAGCTCCACTTCTTCATTTATTACCCTCTACATTTCAATTCTCATTACAAACATTTTCAGCACATCATAATTTGTTACTGCCAACAAGCCTCTAGTCCAATTTCTACTAAAAAATGTGTGCTTAAATCTGCTATGAAATTATTTTCCAACCATAGGCATAGTTTATCAAGGATAAAAAGGACTATCCAAAATGATCTTATTGATGCTCTGTGTTCATCTAAATGCAACTCAGGTACAGCATACAATGAAACAATTTTACTGCAGAACTGTTTGTTCTTTCTTTCAGGTCAAGGGATCAGCTTGAGGTAGAGTAGGGTGGAGGTTTGACAGAGGCCTTGGTCTCATCAAATCATCTATCCTTGACTGGAAATTAGAAAATAGAGTAAAAATTACTATCAAATTACACCAGGAACATCTGCTCTCTAATGCTGCATAACTGGGATCCAATCAAAATAAGCAACCAAACTGTAATCTTGTTAATACGGTGACAGAAGACTATATACTGTCTTAAATAGACAGAATTATTATTTTTTAGCTCTACTTGACAGAACAGTATAATACTGAAAAATCTGAATCCACAGGCTTTCCTCCAGGACTGAGGTAAAAAGGTAGAACAGAAACACTGCCTTAACCTCAGCATGAAAGACCGTTTTAATTTCAGTTCCTCTGGTAGGATACAGACTGTTCTCTATCTAATTCAAAACATTTCACATGTAAGGAAAAAAAAATTGAGTCAGAAATAAAATAACCTTAAACATAGAAAAATGCAATATCTACAGGGAAAAGGAGCAAAAAGGGAAGGCCATGTGTTTAAGAAAATGCACTTTTATTGGGTGCACTAAGCAGCAGCAAAAGATTGTAGCACCTGACCTCAATCGCCAGCCTTGTTTATAAGCCAAGCACTGAAATAGCATGAGAGAGAGAAACTTTAATTACTCTTTTTAAAAACAAAGAAGGACTTTGGCAGAGTATCTGGTCTTCTTCCCAGTGAAATTAAAAGGTAAATTCACAAGGGAAACAAGCACAGGGTCCGAATTCAGCAAATAATTAAGAAAACCGTTTAACCCCCTGTAAAGTAAGCATATAAATGTTCCCATTTGAGTCAAAGCTGAACACATGCTTACCACCTTTGCTAAACTGGCTGATGCTCATAAGATTGAACTCTCAAAAAAAAAAAAATAGTGGCAGTATACAAATATCAAAAGTCAACCACTTTTTCACAGTGTTTATGTGAGTGATAATCATTTTTGGTTATCACTATATATATTGGCATATTTTGCTCTGAACATAGATTTGCTTATGAGAACTGCAAGCATTTGAGAATAGGCATTTGGGTTATAGAATAATAAAATAAATAATCCTATTTATGATATAGCTAAAGTCCCTACTGAAATTAACGTGATTCATATTATCATATTTTTACGTCGAAAAGTTTTATCTTAAACATATGTTTTAAAGGTTAGTATTATTAGACTGTTTTCATGCACATGACCTGCACCTTAGACAATCCACTCTTCTTTCAAAGTGCTTGACTGACTTGACAGAATAAAACTTATAAAATTATGAATGCAAAAAAAGAAGTGTGTGTAAGGGGCATGCTTCTTTAGATTATGAATGTCATAGTAATGTCATTGTTTTGACTTCATATTTGTTATAAATCTAGAAAGAAGATAATGCATTTAACATCTCGTAATTTTTGGTTTAGTTCAACATGTCTTCAGGAGATTGTAAAAGATGTAAGCAAACAGAAGAAAATGTTTGACAGTTAGAGTATACAGTAGAAATTATTATCAAATTAATCAGGGAAGAAGAAAGAAACAAAGGGAAGAAGGAAAGCAGAAACCTTTCCTGCTTCTCTGCAATACCATCTGATTTCAAGTATTCAGTTACAGGAAGCGAGTAGGGAAGTTTCCTTTGCAAGGCACAGACACAGACTAAGGCAGCCTACCTTGGGTTGACATGGAAGGGAAAAAGTTAGAATGTGATTAAGGAATAGGTAACACAGAAATATAAGCTTTATTTTAAAGTGAAATAGTATAACTTAATAACTCTGCTGTAAAGTGAATTGTCTTTAAACTATTCTACCTTTTATTTTATCTTTAAAGCTCATCTCTGGGCAGAGCTGATTCTGAACAATCTGACTTATTAGAAGGGGTTCTTACTGGTGGTAATTATCAACGTGAAGTGGTAAACATCAACAGGTGCCCAGCTGCCCTGCACTTCATCTTCCTGGTATTCAGAGTAATACATCCCAGAAGAAAGGCTAACCAGGCCATTTGGATAGTTGGTAGTACATACCACTTGGACTTTGTGGTCTTTCTGGTTGTTTTTTTAAAAATAAATTTATCAGATAACCTGAACAAAAATTAAAGTGAGTTTAATAAGGTAGAGCCCCCAGTTTTAATCCCCCCAAATGTATTATTTGCACTGTCATGAGCTACAAAGGAAGAGTTTAAGGGAGCTATGGAGGAGCTTGAGAAGAGGTGGTTTGGTTTTAGTATGATATCTCACATATTGTACATTTTAAAACTGAAAAATAATGTTAAGTATTTTTTATAACACTTTATTATATGCTAAGGTCTTTCCAGAACAGGGTGCAAAGGTCTGGCTCTTTTCTCAAAGCACTAATTTTAGATGTGACAATCTGTATGATAAGGACTGACAATGGATGGGGAAAGGATGAAGAAGGAAAGTGTCGACAAGGAGAAAATGGCTGAAATTAAGATGATTCTGAGTTTATTTTAACCCAGCCTGTCATAGTCAGAGCTTTTTCTTACTGCACATGCAGTCTGACTTTCTCTTGTCACCATGATTCATGTGGCTAATATTTACGTTCAGAAACTCACCGCTGTCCGTCTAAGGGTTCTCAAGATAACTATGGTGTATGCCACAGCAACGCATGCTTGAATCGGAGTGGGCGGATGATTTATCTGTGAGGGCTTCAGTCAGCAAAACACTCCCTATTTCTTTAAAGTTAAGTGTTACCACATTCAGCAGAACATTTAAGCATCTGCGTACTTCTAGCAAGTAGTCCCAGCACAGTATATATGGCTAAAGTTAAGTACATGCTTGAGTGTTTCACTGAATTTTGTATTTTAAGAGCTGAGCTCATTTTGTCCTTGACCAGCAAGGATGAAAATTGGGGTCATATCAATATATCAATGCCAATTTACATAAGACAAATATTTTTCTTCCTAAATGTGTTAATAGTTGCCGTATTATATCCTAATAACCAGCAACATTAGCTTGCAGGAATGATTAGTTTGAGCAATACAAAAGTTGTTAAAAAAAATAATCAACTAAAGAAATCAACATGTCTGCATGCCAGCTTAAGAATGCTTGATGACAATTTTACAAAGCCAATAAAGAAACATTCTTGTCAGGTGAATTTTGTATGACACCTAAACTGATGTAATTGAATTGACTTCTTGTACATTTGAATCAAAGACAGTAATAGTTATTACCCTTATACTAATACATACTTTTCCTTTAATTATTCTTTTATTTTCAATCCTCACGTCACACAAATTTCTTAAAGTATTCTTTATCTCTGCATAAGGCACCTGCCAGGTTAGCCGTTACCTATGAAAGCATCAGGTCCTTCTATGATCTTATCCTGACAGTGAAATTAGCAGAATTTCATACTTGTAGGTGAAGTGAAGGCTAGAGTGCAGACTTTATCCACACCTTAAGGTCCCAAGCAAGTGAGGAGTGGGAAGATTGTAGATGAAGAGCCTTAATGGCAAGTGGAATGTTTTCATAAACAGTAAAAAGAAAAAAAAAAAAGCATCTGGACATTGCATATGCTAACCCAGTAAACAAATCTTGAATGTAAAATAAAAAGTTATACTCATTTTAAGTTAAAGTGCATCAATAAAACTGCGCTGATACTCTTTCCTAACAGATTTCACAAAAGAACAGAAGGCTAAGTCTAATTCCTTTATAAGCACAGACACTCAAATTCACAGCTTAATTACCCTCAGACAAGGTCTTTGGATTTGCAAGTTGAGTTCTCTTAGCAACTACCCACCACTGATGAGAAGATTAATCACTTTCTGTTTTTAAACTAGCAAGACATTACTACATGCGGCCGTAAGGAAAAGGGCCTAGAAGACTGTAAAACATATTTCCTTTGCATCCAGTGAGAAAGTTCTCCTTCTGTGAATATCTCAGAAATAAAGATCACAGAACCACAGAAGAATGAGAAAGGAGGAAAGGTTAAAATCTGTATATTTTGTACTATGTCCTTCATTTGTATCATGTAGCTCCCACATCGAGTGTTTACCTTCTAGTGGAATCTTCTTGCTTTCACATATGTATAGCACTGTGCACATGAGGAGTTAATTCAAGATAAATGATAACGATACGTACCCTTCCTTTAACCTTTCCATATA